TATGCCTACACCTGCTTCTTTCTTAGTTACATTTGCTTGACAAAAGTTTTCTCAGTCCTTTACACTGTCTTTGTGGTTGGGGTGTGTTTCTTGTAAACAGCAGAATGTTGGATCCTGTTTTTGTATCCAATCTCTTAGCCTGTGCATTTTTATAGGTGAGTTGAGTCCATTGATATTAAGTGATATTAAAGAACAGTGGTTGTTTACGCTGGTCACTTTTTTTATTATATTGGTAATAGAGTTTGTGTTTTTCCCTTCTTGTAGTTGTGCTGGTGTAGGGTCACTAGATGTCTGAGTTATTGTGTGCATTGTTGGACTCCTTGTGTTGTGATTTTCCTTCTATTACTTTCTGTAAGGCTGGATTTGTTGCTACGTGTTGTTTAAATTTGTTTTTATCCTGGAAAATTTTGTTTTCTCCATTTCTCCTGAATGAAAGCTGGGCTGGGTATAGTAATCTGGTCTTGCATCCATGCTCTCTTTTTTTCTTCAGTACATCTATCCAAACCTTCTGCCTTTCATGCTTTCCATCGAAAATTCAGGTGTACGTATGATAGGTTTACCTTCATACGTAAGTTGGCCTTATTTCTTTGCAGATCTTAATATTCTTTCTTTATTCTGTATGTTTTGTGTTTTGATTTCTATATGGCAAGGAGATATTTCTTTTTGGTCTAGCCTATTTGGTGTTCTGTATGCTTCTTGAACCTTCAAAGGAATATCTTTCTTTAGAATGGGAAATTTTTCTTCTATAATTTTATTAAATAAATTTTCTGGAATGTTTAGCTGTATTTCTTCTCTTTCTCTACCCCTATAATTCTTTGGTATGTTTTTTTTATTGTTTCCCATATTTCCCAATGGTTTTGTGATGAGAATTTGTTGGTTTTGCTGTTTTCTTTGACCAGTGTTTTTATTTTCCCTATGTTATCTTCAGTGTCTGACATTCTTTCTTCTATTTCTTGTAATCTGTTGGTAGTACTTGTCTTGGTAGTTCCTGTTTGTTTACCCAGATTTTCCATCTCCATTCTTTCCTTGGTTTGTCTATTCTTCATTACTTCCATTTCATTCTTAATGTCTTGAACTACTTTTCTTACATTTTTGATTGCCTTTTCTTGTTTCTCTTGGTTGTCTTGGGTATCTTTGAGCAATTTATATATTTCCTCTACCTTTTTGTTTGTAATCTCTAATTGTTTATGGCAGTTTTTCACCTCCTGTTAAAGGTCCTCTATTATTTTCATATAATTCACCTTTGAGTCGATTTCTTCTAATTGTTCTGGAGTAGGCTGTACAATTCTTATTTCAGGATCCCTGGATTCTGGTGATGTCATGTTGCCATTCAGGTTGTTGGAGGAATGCTTGCATTGGCGCTTTCCAATCTCTTCCTTCAAATGGAGCCAGAAGAGGCCTGGTGTCCTGGTAGAGACTTTGCTGTGACTGACTCTCTGGGTGTATCTCCTCAGTGTAGAAGCAGAAACCATTCCCCCATATGAAACTCCTCAGCACCGAAACATGTACGCCTCGTAATTCAATGACCCACAGACAACTGGGCAAACTTGTGGGGCAGGGCTGGATCCAGTAGAGCACAGGAGACCCTGCCTCCAAGCTGAAGGTGCCCGTGCTATCTTTGGGGGTCGTAGAGGCCTGCCCAGTAGGCAGACACTCACCTCTCTGGGTGGGTAGCCTTACTGTAGGAGCAGAAACCTGTTCTGAGGAAAGGACCTTGCAGACCACACAGGCTTGGGGGTGTGTGAAAAAGACACCCCTGCAGAAGAGGCTGGGGGAAAAGGGTTTGTGCTCACTTCTGGGACAATCCGCCCCTGGATAGCACACACTCACCAATCCAGATGGAGCTCCTCATCACCTAAAGAGGGACAGCTGGTAACCCAATAAGCCTGGGACAAAAGGAAGAATGTGACAGGCAGGGTGGTGTCCAGAAGAGCACAGGAAACCATGCTGCCAAGTTGAAGGTGCCCGTGCTAACTTTGGGGATTTTTGAGGCCTGGCCGTTAGGCAGGCACTCACCTCTCTGGGTGGGTAGCCTTAGTGTAGGAGCAGAAACCTGTTCCTTAGAAGGATCCTTCAGAACAAGCAAGTTTGGGGGATTATGTGTAAGAAAGACAGCCCTTCAGAAGCAGCTGGGGGAGAGGCTTTGTGCTCTCTACTGGGACAGTCCGCCCTTGGATCACACACACTCACCACTACAGATGAATCTCCTCAGCACCTAAACAGGGATGCCTGGTAGCTCAAAGCACCTCCTTCTCCATCTTTGAAAAAAGAGAACGAATTTTGACCATCTTCACAAGAAACTGAAAGTGAAAACATAAGGGCAGGTGATGCTAAAAACTTCACCTACTACTCAAATTCCTGAAAAAACTATTCCTTATGCAGAACCCAATTTTGTAAAGCACACACAGGCACAAAGCACAGAAAGACATCCGCCTTCTAAGTTAGAGACTAATCAATGTGCCCATAAGGAACTCAGTGTTTCTCCACCTGCTCAAACGCTGCTGGTAATTTCTTTACCTACTAAAGGAACTGTAGAATTTTTTGGCATCTGCCCAAGAATGTAGGATCTTCACTATCTGAACAAGGATCTCTAAAACTATCTATATCAACACAATGAATTGTAGGGACTCTGGTACCATCTAATAGGGCTTTGAAACATCTAATTTCTTCCCAATAGTCTAAAATTATTCCTTCATCTATCCAACATACTACAAGGATTTCAAGGACTATGGGACATAACAAATCTAGCCAGAAACCTCAGGGAAATTTTGTCTTCACTAGTGCACATAGAATATTTATCATTTTCTCTAGGTGCTCAGAAAATCCTTTATATAATCCATGGTCTCTAGGAAATTTGCTATTTTGAAATTTCCTAAAGTAGTCTCAAAAGCTACAGAGGTAACTTTGCTTGCCCAAGTTCTTTGTCATTTATGCAAAGGTCTTCAAAACAGTCAGTATATTCTTCAAAAATTTTGAGACAATAGCAATATTTCCCGAATCCTTGGGGCATTTTTCAAGTGTGAGAGAAAGTGTGGAAACTTGGTCTGCTAAAAGCATAATAGAAGCTTTGTAACAAACTCTAGTGCCTAGATGATTTTTAAGTTTGGCCAAAGATCTGCAGATTTTTTCCCTTCTGGCCAAGGGAATATAAGTGCGTTGAAACCTGCAAATGGGCCTCTGGAACAAGTTATGTCATCTGAGGAAATGCTGAAATTAGCACAATTTGCTGAAGAAACTCTACAAGTTTCTACACTTTTCAAAGCAGTTCCAGTGTCATATACAAATTCTTCATCTACCCAAATGACCAGGGGAACATGCCATCTGTACCAGGGCATCTGGGTGTTTTGTCCTCAAGATAAACAACTCCAGCATCTTCTTGTTCTGATGAAATGATTGTGGAAACATGCCCACCATCACAAGGAACTCTGAAAATGTCCAAATCTGCACAAGGGAATCTTAGAGTCTTCCTCTGCTTCCCAGGACACTGTGGAGATTCTCATACCTCCCAAAGGCACAATTGGATTTGACATCACTACAACATACAGTAGGACATTTTGCATTAAGGACAGAACCTCTGATGTTTATTCAAAATACCCAGACACTGTTAGAATCTTTGCAATCTAGTCAGATATCTTTGTGAGTATCAGGATGCAGAAGGGCTTTTTTGTACCCTTCTTTATTTCCTCAACGGTCTTTGGACTTATCTATGTCTGCACAAGGAACTCTCGCGACATTGCTGTGTAATCGAGGAACTAGGAAGCATCCTGCTTCATCTCAAATCCCTCAGAAAACGTCTCATTCTGTGCAAAACTCTTTATAGTATCCACCATCTGTCCCAGGATCCCTGAAACCTTCTCAATCTGAAAAGAGGACACGAGGATCTTTGTCTTCTCCATGAGCCATGGTTTGCAGGAAATGTTCCAAATTTCTGCGAGGTCAGGGTGTCCTGAACATTTTCTGTATTTTGGATCACCTCTGGAAATTTCCATTGTGCACAAGGAACTCTGTGATTTTTTTCATTTCCTCAAGGAGAACTTTATCCTTTACATTTATTTCTGGAAATCTATAATCATCTCAACTTGTCCAAATGAATCTCAGCCATTTGTCTTCTGTCAGAGAACCTGTGGTAATCTGTCCATCTAGCCCAGGCCCTACATAGTCTTCACCATTTAATAAAGTGCCTAGAAGATTTTCATCGCATGTCCCAAGTGATCCAGCATTTCTAATCTCTGCTCATCTGCCTCTAGAAGTTAATGTTTCTGATCACTGAGTCCATCAGCATCTTCAAAAGGAACTCTGGAGCCTTTGCTATCTTCTGCAGACATCCAAGGAAAAGTCCAAAAAACACATAGTTATCATGGGCAATGTCACATAAAAGAGAGACATTGGAAAATTCTCCATCACATGAAGGAATTTCAGTAAATGGTCCTTGTCCTCAAGAGACACTGGGACTTTCCTCCTTTTGCCAGGTGAGTTAATCAACTTCTCAATGTGCTCAAAAAACGTAGGTTCCTGTGTACTTACACAAGGGTCTGTCCACCTCTGCACAAAGGTGTCTAGGACATCCTACATGCTCAAGGGCTCTCAGGAACTTCCTCGCATACACAACATACATTATCACAGTAAACTTCTGCACAAAGTACATTAGCATATTCAACATCTACCCCAGTGTCTCAGGGATAAAGCCAGCATGCCAAAAAATGGTAGAAACTTTGAAATCTGTTCCAGGGTCTCCAACATTTTTGTAGAACCTTTGCTAACTGCCTGGGACTCCCCAAGATATTCATCATCTTCACCACGTGTATGCAAAAGTTCTACAACTACTAGATGGCATGTGGTATCTGATGGGCTATAGGAACATTCTGAATATGCCCCAGAAAACTTGAGTTATTTCCATTCTTTCCAGTGCCTTTTGAAACCTAAACTGTCGGAAGAAGAAACTTTTCATTACTCTAAACCTATGCAAGCTATCTAGGGCCCTATGTTTCATTCTATGGTACCTCTTGGATATTGGAAGTCTGCACAAAGGGTTCACCAAAGAGATCCGTCTGCTCCAGAAACTTTAGGAACTTTGACTTCTTGAAAAGGGCAAATGATGATTTCTTTATCTGGGCAATGCACTCTATCCTCTTCCCTAGAGTCTTTGGAAATTTCCTTATCTGTTCAAATGAGTTCCAGACATTCATTATCTTTATTAGAAGCTGTGAAATCTTGCCTTTATTCATGTGGGAAAATGACTCTGGAAGTTTCTACCTGGACACATGGCAATCTAGTGTTATCCAATTACTCAAGAGTGGATTTGAGATCTTCATTATCTACTCCCGTGACTCTAGGATTTTTTTCCACCTAACAAAATAAATTTAGGAATGTCTCCATCTGTTTCATGGACGCTCAGACCTCCTGTGTCTACTCAGGGTGTTTCAGGAACACCTCCATCTTCCCAAGAGGTATAGGAATCCATCGTTTATCAGAGGAGAACAGAATCTTTGCCATATGCCAATGATGATCTCTTTCCCAAGGAACTGAGGGAAATACTTAATTTTCAAAGGGGAAATTAAAAGACTGGTCATCTGCCCAAGGGGTGTTTAAACCTGCTCTGTCTATATCAGGGCATGTAGAAAAATTTCTATCTGCCTCAAGGACACAATGGCTTTTCAGTTCTACACTCCAACATACTGGGAGATTTTCTCTATTTTCCCAAAATTAATCAGAACTGTGCACACCTTTCTAGAAGCATGTAGAATCTTCAACAAAGGTCCAAACTTCTCTCAAACATTCTCTATCTTCCCAAGAGTCTCTGAGACCTACCCAACTTAAACCAGGTACTCTGGAACATTCCCCAGTAGATCAAATGTCATAGAAAATTTCTGTATCCACAAAAGTGACTCTAGGATAAACAACACATCAGAAGGCATATGAAGGACTTCATTATCTCTCCAAGGAACTTTGTGAGTGTCTATATCAGGACAAGGGTCTCTAGGACATTGCTCATTTGTCCAAGGGTCTCCAGAATGATCCAGATATTCCCACAAAGTGCAAGACTCTTCTTTTAAACTAGGGTCTGTGGCAAAGTTCCCATCTGTCCCACAAGAAACACATTTTTCCCTGCCCAGGGAATATTGTAATATTTTTCAGCTTCTCTAGTTATTCTAGAAACATCATCTTTTCTCCACAAAGTAGAAGGTTCTTTAGATGTGCATGGTGCTTGGCAACTTCAACCTCATTCACAGAGTAGTTGGGAAATTCCCAATGGATTCCAAAGTCGTCAGAAACTTTGACATCTCCCTTAATGGTACTTAAATATTCAGAGTCTTCATCTGTGAGTCTAGAAACTTTGACACTTCTCCCAGAAATTCTGGTACGTTCAATATCTGCCGGAAGTGCTCTGCTCTGTTCCTTTCCATTTCTGACTAATAAATTCAGGAATCATCATCTCTCCAAAAATCTGTTCAATTTTCTCTATCTTCTAAATTTTCCCTGAGAGGTACTCCATCTGTACTATGGACAACCCAATATTTATTATCAGCTCAATTGTACTCAAAATTGTCTAGAGTTGCAAAGGGATTCTCAGATCATCAACACTTCAGTAAGTGTGTTTTGGAGATTCATTATTCATGCAAAAAGCTCTTGGAACTTCCATATCAGCAAAAGCAATTGTAGGACATTCAAAATCTGATGAAGAACATCTAGAAATGTTCATTTCTTCTCAAGAGGACCTAGAACCTTCTTTAGCCCAAGAGGCTGTTGTACATTCATCATCTATTCCACAAGATTGTGGAATTTCTCAATCTTCAAAAGATCCTTTAGGAACATCACTATCTACACAAGGTGCTATCCAAAAGTCTATAGTAACAGCACCATTATTACCTCAAAGTGTTCTAGATATTCAGCTTCTTTGGAGTGGCCTCTGTGTTCTTCCCAATATTGCTTAAGAGACAACAGATCCTTTGCCATTTTATATAGAGATTTGTGGTATTTTGAAACCTCTCTCAAGGTCTATAGACACTCAGACATCTATTTTAGAGACAATGAGATTTTCAACAATTGCCAAAGGTGCACAGGCCCTCTATAACTGAACAAGTGACACTGAGATCACCAACAATTTCCTATAGAGCTCTGGGATTTTCTCCATCTAACCAACACTTTGTGAATACTGCCTCATCTCAAATGGGGCCTGATAGAATTTCATTAATGGACAAAGATTTAAAACAAATGTCTTTCATGCAAACAGGTGACTTTATAAAACCACTGCAGCAAAACTCTTCCAGGAAATGCACTGTCTGCACAAGGGGCTCTAGGAATGTCCATATCAGCACAAGTATCTCTTTGACACTCACCATCTTTTCATGGTCTTCATATACTTCCTTGTCACTTGAAGAGGCTTCAGGAACCTGTTTGAAACAAGGGCATCCAGGGCAATCCTTATCATTAGCATTATCTGATCTAGGAGATTTTGGGCTATCAGAATATTCACAGGCGACACTTAGAAACTCCACAATCTACCCATAGCACTCTAGAAATAGCATCTTCAAATGAAAGGAATATAGAAACTACACTATCTGCCCAAAATTCTCTAGCACATCTCCTTCCTTCAGTGCAGATTCTAAAACAACCTCCCAGAATGCCAGAGACATCAGAACTTTTTCATCTAACAAAGAGGCTTGTAATATATCAGAAGCTTCCCGAAGAACTTCAGAAACTTTTCCATTTACCTCACGATCTCTGGAAATTTCATTCTCGGCCAAAGTACTGTGGGACCATCTATATCTGAGAAAGAAACTTAGGACAATCAGTATCTCTGGAGGAATCCCTGAAAACTTCCTTAGAATATCAACCTCCTTCAATGTAGACTCTGATACCTTCCCTTACACCAGAGACCTCAGAAATTTTGCCCACAGCAAAAGAGGTTTGTAAGACCTCTGAACCTGTGTCAGGTGCTCTAGAAATTTTACCATCCTTTGTAGAGGCTCTGAGACATTGTAATTCTGAAAAATGTACTCAAAGCCCTTCAGTATATAACCACAAGAATATGGAGTCCGCAAGTCCTATTTATGATACATTTGGAAATCCCACACCATCCCAAGGGCTTCTAGAACCTATACTATCTACCCAAGAAGGAGTGGTAACTTTCTTTTCAATGGAATCTTTAAGAATTTCTACTTGTGCACATGACAGTTCATTCCTATTCCTTCTCATGGAGACTGTCCCAATAAAAAGCCATTGAAGTACAAATTCTACCAAAAAATAGTGAGGCATGATGCGTTTCTTAAATGAAGTATCAGATATTTACATTTAGATTTGGATGCTTTAATATCATTCACATCCGACAAAGGTAGGCTCACATTTTCCATATATATCAGAAAGTACTCACGTTCTATTGCAACCCCTCCAAGGATTGTTTCCAAACCAAGTATAATCAGAATTGAACTTCAAACCTAGTTCCCCTCCTACAAAATATCAAAGATGTTCTCTCTATCGACAAGATGGTTCCAAATATGTGTAATCAAAGAAACAAAATCAAAACTTGATTCTAAAGAATCATGCCTCAAATCTGTGCCAACAGAAGATGAAGGCTTAAAATTGCACCATTCTCCCAAAAACGGGGCAGAGGTTTGGTTTATAACAATGTTGCTGCAAGGCTTAAAACTGAGCCTAAAGAGAGCCTCAATACTACTTCTGCAAAGGGAGTTTGAGATCCTCACAACCTTATGAGGAGGGCCTCAGGTTTTCTCCTTCTTCCCAAGGAATTCCTAGATATTCCAAATCTACCAAAATCAAATTGGAACAGGTCCCCACTAACAAGGCAGTTGTTCATGTTTCCCATTCAGAACATGAAGGCTGCCTTATATGCTCTTTGTCCTAAACAGAGTTCAAGCATTCATCCTCCAAAAGTGAGCCAGAAATAAAAAGCTACTTCTCAAATGTGCAGAGAACCTTCTGTGTCTAAGGGAGGCTGCAGATCCTCACAATCTCATGAGAAGTGTGGTAGAGGTATTGCTCCTCCCAAAGGCAGCCAAAAACATTCAAGACCTATCAAAACTACATTGGGACAGGCTCTAACAAAGCAGATATTCATGCTTCCCATAGAGAACATGGTGGCTGTAATCATCTCCCTTTGTCTCAAAGAGGATTTAGACATGTTTCATCTGCCAAAAGGGAAAGAAACCCCTCTGACAAAGATAATCATACAAACACATATGTGATCCATGGGATCTGACAACTTTCTGCTTTTAGATCACAGGACAAAAGGTGGAAAGAGAAAATTGGCTCTCAAGCCATCTGTCTCCAAGTGTGTTTTTCAAAAATGCACTGTTTCTTAATATTCTTTCTTTAACCTGTGTATTTAGTGTTTTGATTATTATATGGTGAGGGCATGTTTTTCTTTGATCCAGTCTTTTTGGTGTTCTGTATGTTTCTTGAATATTCAAAGATATCTCAAGGTCCAAATCAGGAGCAGAAGGAGAAAGAGTATGAGCATGGAACTCAGGACCGCGAGGGGTGTAACCACACATGGGGCAATGGAGATGTTCTATAGGGAACTCACCAAGGCCAGCTGGCTTGGGTCTGAAAAAACCTGGGAGAAAACCGGACTCGCTGAACATAGCGGACAATGAGGACTACTGAGAATTCAAGAACAATGTCAGTGGGTTTTTGATCCTACTGCACGTACTGGCTTTGTGGGAGCCTAGGAAATTTGGATGCTCACTTACTAGACCTGGATGGAGGTGTGTGGTCCTTGGACCTCCCACTGGGCAGTGAATCCTGATAGCTCTATGGGCTGACAAGTCAGGGGAACTTGACTGGTGGAGGGAGAGGGAAATAGGAAGAAGTAGCGGGGAAAGACAGAAATCTTTAATAAATAAATAAAAGGAAAAAAAACAAAAATGCACTGTTTCTATATGCACAGATATGTACAGCTGAACACATCCTTGAGGAAATATTAATGCTTGCATTACTACTTAGTCTTTTGGAAGATTGTTATGAGATTTGCCTTAGACTATCAAATATTTCTCATTGGGTATGTATGATTGCATTGTGAAAATTTGCTGGATGCTAGTGCAGAGCCAGACACTTATTCATTACCCATGATGCCTTGCAACCCTCCACTTTTGATCATGAGTGAATTGCATATTACTATTTTACCAAATATGACTGGAGCCCTCCTCCCTGTGATAAAGACAATTGGAATTTCTCATTTGCTGAAGATAGACTCATAACTTTCCATTCTAAGAAGAGGTTTTCTGTAGTCCTGTTTCCAAGATACCTCATGTATACTTAGTTTAATGAAGTTTTCATGAAAACTACTCTGGTTCAAACTGGGCCATCATCCTTCTCTCCATTAAGAATGTGTTCTTACACCTAATCCACCTATCTCAGGAAGATTAGGAAGCATTGTCTTTGACTCAAGGAAACTCATACATTCTTTTATTCATAAGGTGACATTAGAGATGTTATTTTGAATAATACGGCATCCTACCTTGAAGGATTCTGTCAATAACTCTCAAGATTTTTATTCTGTTTCAAAGTACCCCCCAAATATGCTGCTCTAAATAAAAATGATTTAAATTTTAATATTAATTTAATATTTGGTACAGGTAGCTAGTGAAATGCATTGCTCCATGGTAGGTTTTGGGTCACTGTCTTAATTTTAAAATTAGAAACTGAATCCTAAGCTATGTTTTTAAATCCAATCACTAGAAACCAACTTGCCACATCACTGGTGCCCATACATGGGATAAGAAAACAACCTGAGAAAGAAGACGAAATCTCGCTGCTGACAGGCACCAAGGCATAATGAAGAAAGCTCTTGCTGATGCCTAACTCTCCAAGAGTCACTAAAAGATGAGAAAGTTCTAAAGAAGTATTGGAAGTTGAAGTGCCATAATGGGACCTTCCTTCTCTGAATGGGTTAGTAAGGGCATTCACCTATAACAGGATGGTGTATGATATTTCTCCCGTGTTCAAGGGTTTTCCAACTTATACACTTTCCCTACAAAGATCTCAACATTTACCTTTTCTCACGAAGAGCCAATGCCTTGACTCCCCTCAAGTTAGCTTACTCCATTTATTTCACTGAATAAACTGTCAGACCTCCCTCCTGGGACAAAGCTTACTCCAGACTTTCGCCATTTGCCAAAGGTGGTCTTAAGGATTCATTTTTTGGCAAAACCCTCAAGCTTTACCTTTGAATACAAAGGGCACAGATTAAATAATCATTACACTACTGACACTGTAGAAGTGAGAATCAGATTTGTCCATATTCAGTCCAGCATAGTGAAAGTCTCCAACGTGTGCTTTCTCTGTTTTCTTTAAGTGGGTACTCAGTGCTATGAACTTTCCTCTTAGCACAGCTTTCCTAGTGTCCCATAGGTTTGAGTATGTTGAGTCTTTATTTTCATTGATTGTAAGAAAGACTGTAAATTCTTTCTTTATTTCTTCCTTGATCCAGGTGTAGTTCAGTAGTTGACTGTCCAGTTTCCATGAGTTCATAGGCTTTCTCGGGGTAGCATTGTTCTTGAATTCTAACTTTAATCCATGGTGAACCGATAAGATACATGTGGTTATTAATATTTTTTTGTAACTGTGTAAGTTTGCTTTGTTACCGACTATGAGGTCGATTTTTGAGAAGGTTCCATGAGCTTCAGAGAAGAAGGTATATTCTTTCCTATTTGGGTGGAATGGTCTATAGATGTCTGTTAATTCCATTTGATTCATTACCTCCCTTAATCCTCTTATTTCTCTGTTAGTTTTTTGTCGGATTGACCTGTCCATTGGTGAGAGAGGAGTGTTGAAATCTCCTACTATTTGTGTGTGTGGTTTGATGACTGCCTTGAGTTTTAGTAATGTTTCTTTTACATAAGTGGGTGCTTTTATATTAGGAGCATAGATATTCAGGATTGAGATTTTGTCCTCATGAATTTTTTCTGTTATGAGTAAAAATGGCCACCTCCATCTCTTCTGATTGATTTTACTTTGAAGTCAACTCTGTTTGAAATTAGTATGGCTACACCTGCTAGTTTCTTAGGTCCATTTGCTTGATTAACCTTTTCCCAGTCCTTTACTCTGAATAGGTGTCTGTCTTTGTGGTTGAGGTGTGTTTCCTGTAAACAGCAGAATGTTGGATTCTGTTTTTGGATCCAATCTCTTAGCCTGTGCATTTTTATAGGTGAATTGAGTCCATTGATATTAAGTGATATTAAAGACTAGTGGTTGTTAACTCCGGTAATTTTTTTTTTGTAATAGAGTTTGTGTTTCTCCCTTCTTCTAGTTGTGCTGGTGAAGGTTCACTAGATGTCTGATTTATTCTGGGCATTGTTGGACTTCTTGTGTTGTGATTTTTCTTCTATAACTTTCTATGAGGCTGGATTTGTGGCTACGTGTTTTTTAAATTTGTTTTTATCCTGGAAAATTTTGTTTTCTCCATTTCTACTGAATGAAAGCTGTGCTGGGTATAGTAAACTGGGCTTGCATCCATGTTCTCTATTTTTCTGCAGTACATCTATCCAAACCTTCTGCCTTTCATGCTTTCCATAGAGAAGTCAGGTGTAAGTATGAGAGTTTTACCTTCATAAGTAACTTGGCCTTATTTCTTTGCAGATCTTAATATTCTTTCTTTATTCTGTATGTTTTGTGTTTTGATTTCTATATGGCAAGGAGATATTTTTTTGTCCAGCCTGTTTGGTGCTCTGTATGCTTCTTGAACCTTCAAAGGAATATCTTTCTTTAGGATGGGAAATTTTTCTTCTATAATTTTATTAAATATATTTTCTGGACTGTTGAGCTGTACTTCTTCTCTTTCTCTACCCCTATAATTCTTTGGTATGTTTTCTTTTATTGTTTCCCAGATTTCCCAATTGTTTTGTGAAGAGAATTTGTTGGTTTTGCTGTTTTCTTTGATCAGTGTTTTTATTTTCTCTATGTTATCTTCAGTGTCTGACATTCTTTCTTCTATATCTTGTAATCTGTTGGTAGTACTTGTCTTTGTAGTTCCTGTTTGTTTTCCCAGATTTTCCATCTCTGATGGGGGAAGGTCATTGGTTAAGTAATAAAGAAACTGCTTGGACTCATAGGTTAAAACATAAGTGGGAGGAGTAAACATAACAGAATTCAGGGAGGAAGAGGAAGTGAGCTCAGACTCGACAGCTCTGCTCTCTGGAGCAGAGACGCCATGCTCCCCAACCAGGCCAGAGGAACAGGATGTAGTTCCAACCCAGGATGGACGTAGGCTAGAAGCTCCCTGTTAGCCACCTCGTAGGCTACACAGATTATGAGAAATGGGCTAGTCCATGTGCGAGAGATAGCCGAGAAGAGGCTAGATTGAAATGGACCAAGCAGTGTTTAAATGAATACAGTTTGTGTGTTGTTAGTTCTGGCATAAACTAGCAGGTGGCCGGGGTGCCAGGGACACAGCCCTGCTGCTCCTATTACTGTAGAATGGCACCCACACGTGTGGACTACTGAATCCACAGGAAGATTGAAAAAGCTTGGGAAAGAGCAACGCATGTTTTCCTGATAGCAACAATTTCTCGGGTCTACTCTGCTTGCTTGAGGCAAGCAAGAGCTCTCATCTAAGAGAGGCTTCCTGACTCAGCTTTAGCTGCAAAATTCTGCAGCACATTAAGAGGTCCTGAAAGGAAACACTTAAATGGTGTTGATGAAATGCTGAATGCATGCTTTTTGGTTTTCAGCCATAGAAGGAAAAAAGCTACGCCATTTAAAAATGCTGGCTTTCTGGGCCATCCTGCCAGGGCAAACTCTGACAGTTTGAGGCAGGAGGGCCAACTACAGAGAGAGGACTTGTGTGTTGTCTGTGGACATTATGCTGCAACTTACTTGCTCGCAGAGACCTTGAAATGCCATAGAGTTGTGGCAGTAAACATGGATACAACCAGTACCTCAGCCATAAGGCTGGGAAGCTAAGGAATGGACTGGATCTAGCTGGCAAACCACAGCTTTAATCCTACTGATATTGCTTGGTAAATTAAGGACTCATGTGGTCAAAAAAGAGACATATACAGTAAAAGAAAGATTCAAAGTCAAAGAAATGTTTAAATGGTTTACAGTGTGTTAGAAATATATGTATGCTAAAGATTAATGTTCTTAAAGTAAAAAACAAAAAAAGGGAAGAAAGAGAGTAGTTGGGTGAGGTAGTACACATCTTTAATCCCAACACTTGGGAGGCAGAGGGAGATTGACCTCTGTGACTTCAAGGTGTTGTAGCAAACACCTTTAATCCCAGTGCCTAGAAGGCAGGGACAAACAGATCTCTGTGAGTTCAAGGTGTAGTAGCATACAACTTTAATCCCAATGCCTGGGAGGAAGAGGCAGGCAGATCAATGAGACTTCAAGGACAGCAGGGTCTACAGAGTTATTCCAGATACACAGAACCCTTCTCAAAAGACAAAAAATAAAAAAAATAACTAAATAAATGAAAGAGATGTTAAAATGAAGCACACAAAGATTGAAAATACACAGAGAATTTTGATATTGTATGCTATTACGCACTGTTTGAATCATTTGAATTCTGAGGAAGGAGCAATAGTTGCTAAAAGATATTTTTTAATAAATGCTGCTGAACTAATCCAACATAGACCTTTTGAAAATGCCTTGACTTTGAAATTTGGATCTAAGGACATGATGCTTTGGAAAAGAGTTTCTTATTTTGTTTTCACAGAGGGTGAGAGTCTGTAGATTGCCTCTGTCTCAATATGGTATGATGGACCATGGCCTCATGAAAGGTTGCTGTGAACACCTTCAAAAAATAGCTTCGGTCAACTGCCAACTGAGATGAAACTAAGACACAGGTTATACCATGATAGACCTAACTAACGATGCCCCCATTCAGCAGGAAGCAGTTTGGAGAGAAAAAACTGCACCCATGTTCCCAAATATGGCTTATAAATGTTCTTTTACATCTAAAGGGAGATGTGGTATAGCTATGAATAATTTGCATTAGTATAGATTTTGCTTTATTGATAGAGATTAAAGGTCAATTTTGCTATAAGTATAACCATTTTTGATCTTTTTTAAGGTATTGTGATTGTGTAGTTCATTTAAAAATGTAATGTATATCGGTTGTTAATGGAAAATCATTAATAATATTCAAGTTTGTAGTCATTTTAGTTAGATTTTCTAGCTATATAGATATATATTTCAGTTAGATAGGCATTCATCATATCTTTCAAAGACTATGAAATATGCTATTTAATGTTTTAAGAACTTAGGGTTTTTTGTTAAAATGTGACACTCTGATCCTGTCAGAACCAATCTACTTCAGGAAGAAAAAGCACATCAAAGAGGATTCTTATGGAGTTTGATAGCCATTTGGGCAAGAAATTACTCTTGCCTGGATGATTGCATAACCTGGACACAGAGAGCTCGCAGAGAGAGAACGACTGAACTTGACTAAAAAGGAGATGGTCTTTTGTGGTTCCTAATTCAAAAAGAGTCTGCAAGACATTCTTCAAGACAAGCAGATAGTGACTGCCTTTGAAATTTCCTGCTTCATGGAAATTTCTGCTGGACACTGCGGGCCTGTATACTGAAGATGGATACCCCAATGGTACATAGGAACTTTGGGTGACTGTCCAAGCAGCGAAATGTCTCTGTCATTTCTAGAGTTTGAAAATGGCTTACTTGTTTTTGCTTAGGTAATATTGTATTCTTCTGGAGTCGTTGATGGAGTTGAAGAATAGATAGGTTGCTATAGTTTTCCATTGTTATGAAAAAAGATAAAATAGATATAAGTATTGTAACTGTAATTCTTGCTTGATAACTGCTTTGTTATATGTAATTTTGCTATGTTAAAGTTAAAGCCTTCTTTTTTGTTTAAAAAGGAAAAGGGGAAATGATGGAGGATAGGTCATTGGTTAATTAAATAAAGAAACTGCTTGCCCTGATTGGTTAGAATATAGGTGAGTGGAGTAAACACAACAGAATGCTGGGTGGAAGAGGAAGTAATATCAGAGACCCCATATTCCCATCTCCCGGGCAGATACTACAGCTCTGCTCTGTGAGGGAGATGGCGATGCAACCAGCCACCAGGTCAGACATGCTGAATCTTTCCTGAAAAGTGCACCTTGTGGTGCTACATAGATTATTAGAAATGGGTTAAGAGGCTGAAACTAATGGGCCAGGTAGTGTTTAAAAGAATACAGTTTTGGTGTTGTTATTGCAAGCATAAGCTTGCAAGGCAGCCACAGTGCTGGAGATGCAGTCCCACTGCTCAAATGACTACTATAAAAAGGGAAAGGGAAAAAGTGAAGGAAGAAGAGAGAGAGAGAGAGAGAGAGAGAGAGAGAGAGAGAGAGAGAGAGAGAGACATGGAAGAATGGATGAATTCAATCATTCATTGGAAAAATGAGTGAACCAATGAATGAGGAGACCTAGAAGGATAAAATGTGCTGGATTCCCTCTGAGAGTCAGGCCAAATGAAGGATTGACAATGTTTTCCACTGAGGAGGAGGCTTCTTCCATTTTGTCTTCTTTGTGCTCCAAGCCCAGCCACAAGAATGATGATGAGGACTGGGAGAAGAAGAGGTGAGGGTGTACCAGAATGCCCTGGTACAAGTTCTCACCCAAATTGTAGCCAAATTACCTGACCTGGGACAGCTGATCTACATGTGGACCCTAACTGGCAGTTTGACAACTCTAACATTTTAAGCAAGTTTGTGAAGATGAAGGAAGCAAAAATCGCCCCGTTACAGGATGGCAGGATCCTTACATGATGGGAGTCAGACATCAATACCATACTGGTATTTTGGGTCTGAAGGGTTTGTGGGGTCTTTGCCACACTCGACCTAGCATCATGGATTCCCTAGTTTACTGAATTGATGGAGATCGGTGCATTCATCATATGTGTGCATGTCACACATTAGTGGGCATCAATGTGTACATGTTTAACCTGTGTGGGGTGCGTCTGTTGATGACTTCTATAGCAAAAGTTCTACAGAAAATGATCAATGAAAGGGAAAACTGTTTTCCAAACATGGCAGGGCAATTATTTAAATTAACTCACAAGGGTTGGACGGCATGCATAAGACCTATGAGTGTTCAAGGCATACCGAATCCAGGCATGACAAAGAAGGTGGCAGACAGAATTCTGGCAAAAGGAAGTAGGTAGCTTGATGTCCATCCCACTGCAGAAGAGCAACTGGGAGGAGACACTTTTCTCTAAGCAGGAGGCTCCTGGTCACACAACATGCTCCAGTGGAGATCAAACATCCAGTGACTTACAGCTAGTACGAATTAAAACATTCATCAAATGAAACCTAATTTTCTCTGATTTTGAGTATAGATTTGTGTCCCTTCCTGATTAATCTACTCTTTATCCTCTTAAGTACCAATACCTCACTCTGATATCTGTCACATCTTTCCATTTGACATGGTTTTCCCTCAAGCTTTATGCCTCCCCGAGATCCTACAACTTTTTGTGCCCTCTCCACTACTTCCTATGCAGCAATCTTGTCCTTTACCACAACAAGCATCCCCAGTCCATCCTCTCCAAGGGGAAAAGACCATAAATCCTGCTTTGTTTTGAGGCATGTATTTCTGTGATGTCCCATCCACCAAACATAATCCATCATTGACCAAAGAACACAACATGTTCACAAATTTTTATTTTTCGAGCAGGATATTCCATTGGAAAAATTACCAGGATTAATAGAAGACCTGAGGTATCTCTGAAAAGAACACATTCCCCAAACACAGTTTTAAGTGTGCCCCTCAAAAGTTGAGAATTTCACTTTAACATATCTTCACCAAATCATAGACATAGATATGGAAGTCATTATCAAACTTGATGAAATACACAGAAGGTTTGGTGGGAACTTGGCAAATAATTTTGCCTATCTCTTGGGTTCCATCTTTTTTGTTGTACTGCATACTTTTGCCTGCCAAGGAATCCCTGCCTAATTCCAAAGTCACCTCTACTGGAGGACATTCAGGCATGATGTGGAGGTTGCCTTCAATGGAGTCATCAAGATGGTGGTAAACGTACAGGACTGGATCATTCTCGTTGACAATGTAGAAACAGATCCTCATGGTCTGCACCTCATATGGGACATCTCCACTCCACTCCTCCTCAGAGCCTGGCATGACGTGGACGTTGGCTTCAAGGTAGTCATCTGGCAGGTTGTAAATATAAAAGACCGGATCATTCTTGTAGGTAATATAGAACCAGGTCTTCATGATTGGCACCTCCTCTAGGACCATCCCATTCCAGTCTTCCTTAGAGCCATTTGTGCCCGTGAATGTATGTTTCACTGCTCTGCCAACTATGGTGTTTGACAGATGAGTGTCTGTCACCTGAGGAAATGGCACATTATTAGGCAGGATCTTAAGGTTTAAAATCCTTTCATCGCTGGGAAGCTCCAAGCCATAGACACAATCAATCCCATCATATTTCAACAAATAGAGAGAGGGATATGTTGGCAGTTGATCTAGAATGATGGATTTCCTCTGGGTGACTGGTTCATTGGCTTCTGTCCAGCCATGACAAATTCTACGGCCAACAATATTCTCCAGGGCCTCAAAAGGCTTACTCAGTTTTTGCTTCTGGAGAGATAACCCATTCTTCTTCTGGAGAGGTGGCATGCATCTCATACTAAGAGCCATCTTCATCATGGCGGTAGACATACTGAGATAGGCCACAGCACTCCTGTTCCACTGTCTCTTGGCTCTCTTTCTGTGCATAGGCTTCATAGCTACCAATCTCTGCATTGGAAGAAGTCTTCAGTTAAAATCAGACACAAAGTGGTTTCCTCCACTATATTTGCCTGCCAGGATAAGAAGGTGAGGATGTGAGGTCAAGACTCTTTTCTGGAAGATTTTTGGAGCAGGTGACAATGGCAGTGCTGAATAGATTTGGGCTGCCTAAATGTAATTTGGTCTTAAGAAATTCATAGGAAAATTATCAAACTATTGTCTACAGCTCAGTATCTGTGTATCAGAGACACATTCCTGCTGCCCAAAGGCAATGGACCTCTACTGAGAAACCTTATTCCTGACTGACTGTGTCAATGAGAGGAGACTCTATGCCTATCCCCAAATTGAGATAGAAAAATCTGTACAGATGACAAAGAATTCGAAGGACAGCCACTTCTCTCCTTCCCACTCAAGCTATTGGCTAGGTGGTTGATCCAAAACCACCTGCCCAAGGTCATGGCACTCCAGTCCACTGGCTCTCTGTATTGTGTCTCCTGATCCAGACCCATGTTTATTGCATAAAGCCATACCATGTCTTCATTAGAGAAGTGAGTATTGTGAGACAAACTGCAAAAATAAAGACTCATTAATCTGGGCAACAACACCATTTAGAAATAATTAATATCTTTTAAAACACATATGGACAGAGAGGATCTTTGCAACTTTAGTGAACTGATGAATTGGACATTGATAGCAAAGATAAAGTGGGAAGAATACCTGGCATTCACCATCCCCAGAGCTATCAAGTATAGAAGCTGTTAACAACATAAATTTTAGACTCACGGGAGATTTGAAGGAAACCTTTCCGGGACTACAGAGGTCCCAGTTGCTTCCTAAACTTATTTACCAAAATAATATGTCTTGGCTCACCAGATTCCATCTTCTGGAAATGTTCAGCTGCCGAATCCTGTTGAACAATTGTGGAGCCCAAGAGCGAAACACACCTCCTCAGCCTCTGTGAAGATAGTAAGACCACCTTCCCAGAAGACTAGTGCTTCATGTGGAACAGAGTTGCAACCCCCAACTACAGCTTTGTGACATCAACAAAGCTCTACTTATGTCATTAATCTCCTCATAGGCAGGTATCTTCCCTACTAACCCACAGAAATATCCAGCATACAGGTCCTATAATGCTGTTCAAACAGCCCCCTGGAGACCCAAAATAAAAACCCGACTCATTTTCCCAAATACATGGGTCATATTTGGCCAAGTAACTCAATCATTTTATGTTTTTTTTTTCTGTAAAAAAGTCTTTGGTGTCTGAGTCAACAACTCACATGAATGTTTTTTTTCCAAGCTCCAAGCTCTTCTTTGGTTATCTTCTATTGATTTTTATATTACTTCATAATAATAAATATCAAAATTTCTACTTCGTTTCCTCTTCCCACTTTCTTCTCGCTCCCCAACAAAACCTCTCTACTCTTACTCCAATCCAAATGGAGGGCTGGGTACCTTGACCTGTGGGAAGTCCATGCCCACCCTTCATCCATCCAGATTTAGGAAGGTATGCATCCACATAGAATAGGATCACAAAAAAGCCTGTATATGAAGTGCAGACAAATGCCAGTGGCATTATCATTGGCTTCTCTGTCTGCCCCAATTGTCAGCCACATTCAGAGCTTCCACTTTGATCCCATGTTCTTTCATTCCCAGACCACTGGTTTAGTTGAAATCCCCTTAGTTCAGGCACAGTGTGTCAGTGTGTGGACCAAGCCATTTTATTCCTGACATCCATGCTCTTATTCTCCATCAGTTGGCTATTCAACTGGAGCTTGGAAACTCCATCTAGTTTTCTGATTTTTACCCTGACTTTATCTCCATCATTTGCCAAACAAAAGTTCCATGGTGATATTCATGATAGTCATCAGTCTGACTATAGGACAAGGCACCCATAGTGCCTATGGACATGGCACAGTGCAGTCAACCTCTCCTCAACTGCCCAAGTTCCTAGAAGGGGTCACCCCATGGCTTTCTAAGAACCCCTCGAGAGATAATGATCTTGACAAATCCAGAATGGCCCGCTAAATTGAGATATTGTCAGTGTATGTGCATTAACTTGTGTGTGTGTGTGTGTGTTTAAATCACAATAAAAACAAATGGATTGTAATATTGAAATTTCTTCTCATCTTGAGAAGAATGTTTGCTGCAGAAACACTGTCACAGTAGTACTGAGAGTCTAAGCTGTCTCAGCAAGGAGAAGTAACTGGAGCAATCCCCCAGGGGTTAGGCTCAGTGTCCCAGGAATTACGCCCAAGGAAAGTCAATGAACTCACAGATGGAAGATAAAACTCAGCCTAAATAACACTCCAAATCATTTAGGTGGAACATGAGATACTCTTGCAAAAGTTACAAGATGCCTAAATTCCTGGACTAGAACATAAGGGGAACACAATGATGTGGAGCTGAGAGTGCATGGCAAAACTGATTGGATCTGGCAAAAATTATGGAAGCATACCAAGGAAACCACCAGGGGGACAAAACCCTAAGAAATCTGTATGACAACATATCATGTTGACAATTCTGAGATTTATAGACAAACAAAAGATCTTAAATATGTCACTATCACACTGGTGATGATTAACCCATTCCATCGTAGTGTGACTCCCTGATGTGTTTAAGATAACCTGTCTATTCTGTCTATTTAGTTACAGGGAAATTTGCATTGCTCGCACAGATTAACTAACAGCATCATTTACTGAGAAGCAAAGGCAAGGCAAAGCAATCATAGACATGTTGTTGAATGCTGATGATGTTATTGGGAGTTTTGTGGGGTTTTTCTTAAAGGGAAATCATCGGTGACTCTCATAAATGAAGCAGACCCTGTCTCTGTTATGCATCTGGAATGACTGAAATAAATAAACTAAAATAGTTTTTTTTTCTCACACACTAATAACATTTTGTTTTTTTTGCTATACCCAAATAAGTGTGTTGTGTGAGCTCCTTCCGCTCCTTCAGCCAATAGCCACTGAGATATCAGCCCATTGAGGTGTGGTCTCTCTCTCTTTTAAAAAGCAACATTTACCATCAGCTTGATCTCTTGCTTCCAGTTTCCCTTTCGGCTACTAGGCTCCTTTCCTGATCCCACAGGGGGCTTTTGTCAGGGATGGTCATCTGAAAATTTTCCCCTTTAAAGAAATAATCATTCTATTAATCACAATTCTAAACTGGTGTGGGAGATTGTTTGTGACTTATGCCTTTATATGCCACAACCTGGGTGTGGAGGGTGTTCTCTCTGTTATTGTGGGGAAGGCATGGCAGCAGGAGTAGATGGCTGCTCATTCTCTGTAAGGAAATCAGTAAACAGTGGGGACCAAGTACAAGGATGTCCTGAAATATCAAGGCTTGTCCTTTCAGGCCCCAAAGCCTACAGCTAGGTTCAGGGTCACCACAATCTCCAAAACCCACTGAGCATGAAGTATTCAGAACCAGAATCCTGTGTATGCCATATTACATGAAATCATCGTGAGTACACCAATCTGTTTTTTAATGCTACATTCTTTTGTCCCATCAAAACTATCTTTATTACCAATAAACATAACTTGCTGCTTCTTTGGTGTCCTTGAATTGCTTTAAATTGTTGCTGGGACAGTCCTACAAACTTTCCTGTGTTGTTATGAGACCTTAAGGGGACAGCACTTATTTCAGAGATCAAATGCTGTTAGGTTCAAACCTATGCTTAGCTCTTGGCTAGACTTTGTTTTGCTTATAGCTACTCTATGGAAGGATGGATTTGACTAAGAAAGGGAGACAGCATAAATGGAGTCAGGTAACCTTACCTTTGCAAAATGACCCATTTTGAGGCCTTTCTTCAGGCCTCTTTCTACTCTTAATATTGGTTCCTTTTTAGTTTAGGAGAAGAATTGAAAATAAATCTATAGGATCTGTGAACACTGAATGAGTTAAGTATGTGTGACTACCTTGATGTCTGCCTGTCTGTCAACAGGGGCAGAGTTCATGGTCATCTGACGCATAGCACAGGATTGTCAGCAATCAATCTCTGGTCCCCCTAACTCTACAGCATAAGAGTTGTCATGGTTGCTCATCTGATCTTCCTCATACGATCTCCATCCACAGAGATGTCAGAAAAATCCTTCCCTGAGAGGGCAAGTTTTTTACAAATGAAAGATTATACAACAGAAGAGACATGGAATATTTATTTGGGCAAGCTGTTGAAAGGATAAAGTGATGGAAGGTCATTGCTTAATTAAATAAAGAATCTGCTTCCACTGATAGGTTAGAACATAGGTGGGAGGAGTAAAGAGAACAGAATGATGGGAGGAACAGTAAGTGAGCTCAGAGAAGCCATGCTCCCCTCTACCAGGCAGATGTGATAGCTCTGCTCTCTGAGGCTGATGGCGATGCAGACAGCCACCAGGTCAGACATGCTGAATCTTTCCGGGTGAGCGCACTCGTGATGCTACAAAGTTTATTAGAAATAGGTTAAGAGGCTAAATTAATGGGCCAGGTAGTGTTTAAAAGAATACTGTTTGTGTGTAATAATTTCAGGTTGTAAGCTAGTGAGGTAGCTGTGGTGCTGGGGATGCAGCCACGCTCCTCCAATTACTACAGAATGGGACACAGCTGTGTGGACAACTGAATCCACTGAAAGCCTGAGAAAGCGTGGCAAAGAGTAAAGCATGTTTTCTTGGTAGCAGCGATTTCTCGGGTCTGCTCTGCTTGCTACAAGCAAGCAAGGGCTCTCATCTAAAAGAGGCTTCCTGATTCAGCTCCATCTGCAAAACGCTGCAGCACTTAAGAGGTCCTGCCATGAAACATTTAAATGGTGTTGATAAAATCCAACTGAATGCTTGTTTGTTTTCAGCAGAAGCAGGAAAAATACCTGTGTTGTTTTAAAATGCCGATTTTTGGGCTGTCCCGCCAGGGCAAACTCTGACTGTTTGAGGCAGGAGGGCCAGCTACAGAGAGAGGGCTTGAGTGTTGTCTGTTGCAGCTTGTTTGATGGCAAGGACCTTGAAACACGGTACACTTGTGGCACT